TGCGCCTCCGGGAAACGTGGCGAGATTGGGCAACGGGTGCGAGTGCTGCTGGGGGAAGGGACTCTCCCACGCACACCGCGCGTCTCCCACGCACACCACGCGGGTGGGGATGAGCATCGTCTCCGTAGGGAAACAGTTCAGATACACCCGCATCCCTGCCTGCCTCCCGGCGGGCTGCGGACCCCCCCAGCCTGAGCCCTCTGCACCCACGCTTGGCCTGGTTCGATATTCCCCCTTGGTGTAAAAGCTGTTGTCCTCCTGCCGTGCCGGCTCCCAGCTGCACTCTGACCAGAGGAGAAAGGTCTGTGGGCCCTGGGCTGCTCCGAGGAGGAGGAGGAGGAGGAAGCAGCCCTGGTGTTTGCCCTGCTCGGGTGCGGGCAGGGTCAGCCAGGATCTGCAGGGCCTGGCTTTGGCCACGCACCGTTAACCTCGGCTCAGAAAGGCTTTTCCTTTCTCTGCCCTGGCTCTTCTTGCCGGCTGTTGAAGATGTGGGGACACCTTGCACCCAGGGCAGCAGCCTGGGAATGGCACCCAGGTGCCCCAAACCCAGCACGGGGCTGCCTCCGTCTCCCCATCCCACTGAACAGAAACCAAAATTCCCCTCCCAGCAGCAGAGACCAGCAAACCCAGTGCTCAGAGAAGCTGGGTTGGGAGGGGGCGGTGGGAGGAGAAAACAGCAAAATTCCCATTCTCGCCTCTTCATCTGAGGAGGATGTTTTGTCCCCAGGGCTAGATGTCTCAAAGGGAGAGGGTGCCTGGTGCCTGCGGGTTTCTCACGTGCTGGGGAGGGGTGTGGGACCGTATCCCCCGAGGGGGATGCTCTCCCTGCCTGGGACTACCCCTAGAGAGCACGGTGAGGAGTGTGATGGTCCCCCCAGCTCTGCTGGCCCATGTGGTCCCCTTTGAAAGGGGGGGTGATGTTTGTGGATGTGGGAGAGGACAGCACTGCAGGGTGTGCATGGGGAAACTGAGGCACAGAGCAGTGCAGGGTGTCCCACCCCAGAGCAGGGATCCAGGTGGGTCTCTTCTGCCCCCTGCCACCCACTCAGGACCGCGGTCACCTTCCTCCCCTCTGGATGCTGCTGCTGCCAGGGATCCAGATGACAGCAGGCACTGTGTGGGGAGCACCGTGTGGGCTTTCGATGGGTACGGGTCAGTGCAGTGTACCCATCACTGCATCTGGAGGAATACAGTGGCTGGAGCCAGGTCTCCTCCTGCGCTAACATCACCTTGCTGGAGAGGAGGTTTCTTGGGGTGCAATGTGTGTGTGGGGGGGGTGTCAGGCTTGCCTGAAGTAGCAGCAAATCGATGGCCAACTCTTTCCAGCAAATGATATAGAAAGTGGGGAGTGTTTCCCCACCCTCTGCTCTTGGGGTGGCTCCCCTGGCATCTCTGACAGCCACAGTTGCATGAGACAGAGAAAAATGGGGAACCGCCCCATCAGGGATTCCCAGCGTTCCTCCTCCCGCGTCCTCCCATTGCCAAGGCCCAGCTGCTTTAGCAGCGCGTGCAGAAAAGTCCATTGTAGGCAGTTTTTGAAATAACTTGCCTAGAAAGGAAGTTTCTGCACTTCGAAGCTGGCTCCTGCCCCAATCTGGGCACATGGCTGCTATTTTTTATTTAAATCCAGCTTGAGAAGCATGGGGAGGTGATGGGGGTTGGTATCAGGGCTCTACAAATCTTTGCCCCTTTATTTTGTGTCCTCTGGACTGAGAGGTGTCATGTGCTGAAACCCTGTCTGGAGTTTTCCCAGGCTCCTTCCTCGGATGCTTTTGTGGCTGTGCTTGCTGTGGGACCGGAGACGGGGATCCCAGGAGACTGGCAGGTCACCCGTGGGCGGGAGGTGACTCTGAGGGCACCGGATGCTGGGGACCGGGCGCTGTGCTTCGAAATGATCCCCAGGGACCGTGTGGATTTCCATCACAGCTGGCTGGTGCTGGGGATGGGGTGTGTTTGTGAACGAGTCCCTGGCACTCCCAGGCTGCCCGTACCTGTCCCGCAAAGGCTTTCTCTCCCTCTCCCCCCGCTGCTGCCTTATTCCCTTTCCTGGCAAAATATTTGCGTTCTGCGCAGGGGAAATCCAGTGGCTTTCGGCGGCCAGTATCACACAGACAGGAATGTCTTGGCATTCGGGGCTTTCTGTTAGGAAAACAGATGTTTCTGCAGCAACTGAAGTTTTGCAGAGAGCTTTCCCCGTCTCGGAGGGGCAGGAGGCAGCAAGGCAAGTGGTGTGATTAGCAATGCCTGTCTCCCCACCGTCCTCCCCCATTCTGGGAGTGATTTGGGTCTCAGGCTCCAAATCCTGCTGTGTCACATTGTCGCCAAGCTTGGATCAGACCCTAGGAGGAGGAAAGTAAATGCATGAAGGGGCCTGGTCAAAACAGCCTGGGGAGGTGCTGATGGTCCAGCCAGATCTGAGCAATGTCCCAGGCACATTCCTGCCTGGTCCCTCCTGCCCTGCCAGCTGCCTCCCAAGGCTTGAGGGATGCTCTGGGCTCAGATCTGCACCCAGTGCCTCCAGTTCCTTGGTTACTCCTGTCCCCATAGTGACATAAGTGCCCTGGGTTTATTTCCCCAAGGTGGTGGCCAGTGGGTGCTGTAAGTCATTGGTCCCCAATGGTCGTGTCCCCAGGTCTCGGACAGGGTACTCTGAGATGGTTTTCTCCAGGGTGTTCCCCCATGCCATGCTGTTCTTCAAGCAGCTTGGGAGACCCATGGCCACCACGGTGCCACCTCTGCTGGGATGGGCTAGGACTCAGGTCCCTAGACCACCAGAGTCACCTCGGTCCCCCCCTAAAAGACAACCCCATATTCTCTGTCTCCCTGCCAGGCTTACCTGCGAGCAGTCGATGTGAAGATCCTGCAGCAGCTGGTGGTGGTGAACGAGGGCATTGAGGCGGTGAAGTGGCTGCTGGAGGAGCGGAGCA